TACTATATATATATATATATATATATATATATATATATATATATTATATATATGGCATATATACATACATTGTGTGCACGTGCGGACGCAATGTACGCATATATGCAACTTCCACGGCGGGACTCTTTGTGCATGTCTTTATGTGCTGTTTTTATTTCCTATTCTCTTATATACCCTTTTGCCGTATCTTGCGTCACCGTGCCTGGCGATCTTGATCTTATATTCTCACGTCTCTCTTGCGCTCTGTTCGTTTCGATCTACACGAGTGAACGAGAATATTAACAACAAAATGTGTAATCGGCGCATCTCGTTGCGCAATCCGTCGTTTGCGTTAATAAAGTTGTCGGTCGCGGAAAAAAATTCATTACGTAAGACGTTTTCTATGCTATGTTACTTGATACTACGAGATGCATATGAAGGCTAAATGCGATTATACAAGAGCGAAGGATCCGCGAGGATCCGCGAGAATCTGACAATTCCAAAAGTGTATCCTAAAATTAGAGATCGAGATATGTTCCAATTATCACTAAATTTAGATATTCTCAAATTCGCGTATTTTCTAACTTGAGAGTCAACTTCAAGAATTCAGAAATTAGAAGATTCGGATTTCGTATACGAATCTAAAAAAAAAAAAACAATCTGCAGATAGATTATTTAAATAAAATTTCAACTTTTTGCGAGATATCTTTTATCGTTTGACCACATTGATACGTCATGCTTATTTATAGTTACACGACTCTTATTCGCTGCGCATCGTCAATGCATTAATAATAGTAGCCAACAGCAGCATCATCAGTAAGAAAACTCGTAACCCTAGGTATCATTTTTCCTTCTAACGATTATTTCCGAAGAAGCATACGCGATTAGACCGCTTGTTAAATAGACTTTGTTGCTAACGTTGTTGCTCCGTTCTCCATTTATCTTTCGTATTCTCGACATCGTAGCGCTCTCGTCGTCGTCGTCGTCGTCGTCGTCGTCGTCGTCGTCGTCGTCATCATCATCATCATCGCCGCTGTCTCTGATAGTTACCAGATTACCAGATTATGTACTTCTTGATTGCATATTCATATTATATCTAGTTAGCTGAAATGTTGCACGAGTTGCATTATGCAATAGTTGCCAGTAGCCGCGAGATGCGCGCGTTTGATCTTCGACGGAGCAATTTATGTATAGATAGCATTTAAGAGCTGGAGGACAAAGTCGATAGTCCGTATCGCGATCTCCGCAGACCGTGCGTCTATCAGAGGGACCAATCGGCGAATATTCTCGCCGATGGTTCTCACACTTGAATGTTTATTTTTCCATTTGGTTTTTTCTTTTTGGTATGTTGATTTGACATCTCTTTCCTTCTTTCTTTCTCTCCTGTACTGTATTGTGACAGTATCTTTAGTCTCTTGGAACGCGATGAGATGACAGTAGAATTGCGCTTTTTACATGGTATTGACATTTGGAACGAGTAGGTAATTATAGATGAAAAAGAGCACGGGACGAAGTGCTTGATGGAATTGACCGATTCTCTGTCTTGTTTCGATAAGCGCGAAATAGTTTCGATTCTTTTTTTTAGACCATTATGCCTTCTTTATTACTTTCCTGTTCTTTTTCTCTTCTTTTTACGTCTCTATTATTTCTTCTTCGCGACAAGCAAGTTTTTCCATGTATATTTCCAGCGTTTATAAAAACAAAAGAGAAAATTAAGCAATTCCATTAACTACATTACCCTGTACAAATACGAGTGTGATGTTCGTTATTATGATATCTTCGTTGATTTTGAACGTAATTGAAAGAATCCCTTCTTCTCTGCAACCGTTTGACGTAGTGTGACTTATGGGAAAGTATAAAAGGTGCTCTATTTAACGTTATCATTCGATATTTTTTTTGCAATAATTTATTGCATTGAAATAATAGTGAAATATAAAATAATGTTTGGAAAAATAATTTTTAAAATACGCTAAGCATATAAACTGATAAAAAAACGATATCTTGTGAAAAAATCGATAATAAATTCCAATTTCGTGGACTAGAATTTAACATTTTGGCAATTTAATTTTTTTTATAACCTTTTGAAACCATTAATTAGAATTTAAAAAATTAGTAGTTTTTGTTTTTGTCAAATAATAAAATAATATACTTTGAAATACAAAAAATTTTTTTAGAAAAAGAATTGTGAAAACTACATATAATTATTTGTAATTTCCACATATTACAATAAAAAAGTGAAACGTGCGATGAAAATTCTGTATTTCTAATATTTTACGGAAGAAAGCTATTACATTTATATTGTTATAATAATAGTATAATAATTTTATTAATGAAAGGAAATTTGATATTTATTTTTAATATCTTTTATTTCATAATTTTACATTTATATTTTTATACGCTTGTTAAAAATATGTGTATATAATTCTTTTTAATTAAAGAATTAAACAAACATTTTATGTGGGACATTGCGCAAAAGAAAAATAAGATATTAAGAGTGATAACGTCAAATCGATTATCCTTTACATATTTTGGGATGATACTAGTATACACAGTTGGCATCGTTAATGAATTATGATGAATTCATCAAAACGGGACCTTGTATTCCAGGAACGACAAGGACATTCAAAAAAGAAAAGGATATAAGTAAAGACAGTCACAATAAGTTAGAGCACTCGCAGATCGGTATGGAGTGCTGTAAGCAGTGCGGCAAGAGCGTAGCCAACATAAAAAAGCACATGAAATCACACAACCCCGACAAGCACGTATGTCAAATTTGTTTGATATCGTTGACCAGATCTGACAATCTAAAAAGACACATAAAGTTGAAGCATGGATCGGAGAAGTCCTTATTGACGTCATTCATGCGCATGGAACACAAGCACTTCTTAGATAAATCCGAGAGTTATTTGTCTTAATAACTCTTATATATCGCATGATGAAATATGCAACGCGTCCACGTGCAAAATATAAACCAAATACAAATTGTGCGAGGATTTCTGAATCAATGAAGCCTGTCGGATGATCGATTCATCTCAGACATTAGAAATACATAATCTTCCTCGACACATAATGTCACTTTTGGCGCGTGACGTGAGCGCGTTTCAATTGTAAATTTTTTTTGGATTTTTCCGACTTTGAATTTTTGGAAATTCATGACTCCATCTCGAATTCTTGGCAATTCATAAATCCTCGTACACTCTACATACATAACTTATTTTCTTATTATACAACTTACTACTGTAAGCGTAGGACTTGCGCATATGCATATGCATTCTCAGAGAGCTGGCTTAAAATCAACATACATACAACTTGTGTCCATGTCATTTTACATGTTAATTAGTATCAATCGCCACGGTTGATACGTCGCACGAAGGACGCTCCTCGTCGCATAGCTTTCTACATGACGATTACATCGCAGAACGGTAATACCGTTGCGCGTGCGTCTTTTATTTAGATGCTATTTACATTAAAATGCTATTTATTCTTGTGCGTTTAGCTCCTAAGTATTTAACTCTAACGAATAAGACACGAGAATCTCTCTTGGAGACAAGCGGATTTTCCTTATAGCGAGGTGTTTGTAGAGTCATTGTAGCTGGAGATCTCAGTGAAAGTAATGTCGAGTACAAAACTTCATTCTACCTCCCGCTGATCATCCGTTTCGGAATACGGAAGACGAGTAACGTTCCTTCAAGATTGCGGGCCATCTCCGTAATCATTCTCCTTTTCGTCAAATTCCGTATCACGCCCGAATCCGCGGGTCGCGGTTCCTTCCGGCTCCGAGGATCTCGCGGCTTCCCTTGATCCCTCCGTCCCTCGGACGCTAGGGTATTCCTGGGTATTCCTTTTCGGATTCCAGCATCTTTGGCTATCTGTAGGCGCGCAACAGAAATATCTGATTTAAACGACATTAATTATTCTTATTCGCACGCGTCGTGAATGATTTTGCATTTTGATTCGTCCCTACGATCTTTGTTACACGATACATACATGCATGAGAATATCGTATTTAGCGTTAAATACGATGTAAATCCACCTTATATTGGAACAAGTGTGCAAAAATAATGATAAATTACTAAACATATCTTTTTATCTCAAGCAGCGCGATCGATTTTCCGCGTGACAGATAGGTGATTAAAATAATTCTTCGACGCGTGCACGTAAAATATACAAATATATATTTTATACGTATATTATATTTAAGTGACGTAGGTTGTGAATCACGTCGAAGACTGATTTCTATGTGAGCCGTCGCGGCTCAAAAATAGTCATGAAACTAGTCCCGCAGGCCCATAGGCTATTTACGGAAAAAAAAAAAAAAAGAGAAAAAAAGCTTCCTACGAAAACTCACTTGTGGTGCCTTTTGCTTAAGTACAAGGATAAGTCGCTTATCACGAGACGAATAACGACAATATGATAAATAATAATTGTAATAAGCGATACGATACCTCCCTTAGGCAGTGCATGGTCACACGTTCATAGCCCTTGTACGTCGTTATGTAACATACGTGTCCTTTTTCCTCCGTTTGCGTTGTTCTCGTCCATCGTGGACTCCGAAAAGGAATGGCGTGGAGCCAGTTTTTTACCTATGTTCTTTCTCTATTTGCAGATGCGACACTTTTAGCTCTTCGAGCCATTGAATTCGCGCCAATAACGGGCGTAAATCAAAGTATGTCTAAGTTTTTTTTTTCCTCCCTCGGAAAGATGCTCGTAAACGCGGAATACGTCGTTTTAGACTAAACTTTTGTTCTTTCCGACGATCATTGAAGATTGGTTACATTTGCTATTGTCTCGCAGGTCTTGAAAATCTTTTAGTTTACTCGAAACCTGTGGAAGGAATATTACGTTTGGATTAGGCCAAAGTTTTCACGCAATTCTATGGGATTGGGTATAACTAGATTGTCTCCGTTCTTGCGACATCAACACGCACAATTATTGAAATTCGCCACTCTCCTTGCCGATCTCCCGAGGGAATTTCTCAGTACTCTCGCAATTTTTTGAAACATTCTCGTGCGACCGGCACGACGGAACTTTTGCTATCTGTTTATTCGTACAAAGCGACATCGCGGTTTCATACCGGAATGCACATTTATTCTTCTCGTTTCTACGCTCTCACGTGTTACACAACAAATGTTGTCTTGTTTTGCCTCTCGCCGGATGCATTCTGGCAGCGTCATGGTTTCCGGTACTGGCAAAAATAAAGGTAAAGGTGTAAAACTCCCGAGAGCATGAAATTCACTTATCTTACAATCGGACCATTTACTTTGATTGTCAACAGTAATCACAAGATACGATTTGTTCAGAAGTTCATTTATTAGCTCCATTTTTATTTCTCTCTCATTCTTAAAACATCGTTTCCTTCTTAATTATTTTTAACGATTGAGTATTTTTCATTTCATTCTTAGCTTATCAGTCTTAGATATCTTATATCAAAATTTTAATATTTTAATTTCAGATTTAACTTGAACCATTTAGAGGACTTTTAATTCTTCTTAAGATCTTTTAATTCTTAAATTCTAACCTTTGCAGTTTTTCAGATCGCTTTCTCAGATCTGAAATTTTTATCTTTTCCGTAAAGCGCTAGAAAAGTAAACAATTTTCGTAATTCTTAAAGCCGTCTCGGTAGCCTTACATCGATTGCGCCGAATAAAAATTGTAAGAGTTCGGAGCCACAGAACTCTGTCAATGACATATCGACTATTTTTCTGATGTGACAGTCGAACTAACGACAAACAAGTCAGTCTGTGAGTACATGATACGGAAATGTCATTTTTAAAAATCAAACGGATTGGAAATCATTGTAGTTCTCCTATCAAATAATAATGCGATATATTTCACATGTGCGAATATCCAATATTCTTTTTTCAAAACAACAAAACTACAGTGAGTTTGTAGTTTGGATTTGATGTGCCCATTATGTTTTCTACTTCTCACTTCGTAGCAGTCTGATATCGTTGAAAATTTTTGACATATATCAATTCTGTTTAAAAATATATTATTATTAATATAATATAATACATGATATAATGTAGTACTAATATTAATATGATTATATT